ACTCAAACATCACCTTAGGGTTGAAACTACATGCTTGCTTCTTCCAGTCTTACTCCTCTGTGTCCCCACCAGTGATGAACCAGGAGTCCAAATTTTGTATATTACTATTTTACCTTTTTTTCTTTCAATTTACCATTCATGTATCTGTAAATAAGATAACAGTCACTTTTGCTTGGGTATATTGTGCTATATATACTTTTTGGCAAATCGCCTTTGTTACCTGCATTCTGTTTTTAAGGTTCACCCATGTTGCTGCGAGAACCTGACATTCACTTGCTCTTTTGGTTCAGAATACTCCAACATGTGCCCTGCCTGGTGTGGCTCAGTGGATTGTGTGTCAGTATGCGAACCAAAGAGTTGCTGGTTCAATTCCCAGTCAGGGCACATGCCTGGGTTGCAGGCCAGGTCCCCAGTAGGGGGTGTACGAAAGGCAACCACACATTCCTCCCACCCTTCCCCCTCTAAAAATAGATAAAATCTTTTTTAAAAATGTTAAAAACAACAAAAAAAATAATAATACTCTAACATGTGAACACAGACATTTGGCTATTCCAAGGTGTAGATCAGAACAAGTGGTACTGTGAGAATTTCTCTCGAGTGTCCCCAAATGGAAACCCAGGATCAAAGAACACATGAATATTCCGCTTTGCAAGTTAATGCCCCTTTTGTGTATCAATTTATCCTCACCAGCAGCAGATAAGATTTCCAAGCTATCCACATCCTCTCCGAACACTTGGTTTTGTCAGACACCTCAATTTTTCCCAATCTAAGTATCTACGAAGTGGTGTATCTCACTGTAGTCTTAGAATGCTACTGAGGTTAAGTATCTTTTTATGTTGAATCACCACTCTTGTTAATTCTTCGGTGACATGCCTGTTTTTCCTTTGTCCATTTGTAGGAGTTATTTATATGTGCTGGATTATAATCTTGTATAGGCTTGTAAGTGTTATAAATATATTCCCACTCTGTAGCTTTCTATTCACATTCTTTACTGCTACCTTTTGATAAAGGGAAGATCTTAGGTATTATCCTACATTATCTTCTAGAAGTTTTTCTTTAATTAACCTGAAACTGATGTTCCTGCATGTTGAACATTAGGGATCCAATTTCCTCTTTCCCAACTGTCACAGCACTCCGTGCTGAGGAGTCTAACCTTTGCCCAGTGATATGTAATTCCACCTCTGCCATACAGATCACGTTTCTCTGGTCTGTTTCAGGCTGCTCTGCTGTCCCACTGGCCGACTCATGCTACCCCCGAGCCAACTGTAAAGTAAGCCTTGAAACTGGCAAGGCAAGTGCTCGCTCCTAACTCTTCTTCAAAGTGCCCTAACAACATTAGGACATTATTCTTCCAAACATTTTCAAACTGACTTGTCACATTTCCCAAAAACCCTCTGGAGATGCACTGAGCCCACAGATCAATATAAGAACAGAGAACTTCACCCCATTGAGTCTTCCTAGCCAAGAACATCCTGTCTCTATTTATTCAACTATTCTTTAATGACTCTTAATAAAGCTGTAAATTTTTCTCCATTAAAATTTTTACACATCTTCTGTTAGTTCCCAGTTATATCAAAGATGTTTCAGTTACAACAGAGACCATGCTGGCTATTTCAAACACAAAGGGATTTAATACGATGCTGTCAAACAACTGAAAAAGCTAGAGTTGCACAAAAGTAAAGTGGGCTGGCTCTGTCAGCTTCACCTCTGCAGTTGCAGTGGGACAATCAGGAAGCTGCTGTTGCCATCCACAGGTGGGGAAACCGCAGGGGGCCGCCACCAGGCTGCCAGGCCACAGGCTGCCCTGTAGCCCTGAGACGGGCCGGCCAGTGGGAGGTGCGGGAGCCACCGCACTCTCTCGCCTGGGTCTGGGCCCACACAACCCACCCTGGTGCCAGAGGAAAAAGGATTCTTCTACCTCTCTTCCGCCTCCCCAATTTCACTGGAAGGATCTCATGGGCTAAATGGTACCCAGAAGCCTGCTGGCAGGGCGTCTGAGCGTCACACCCCCAGCCTTGCAGCCTGAAAGCCAGGGCGTGCGCTGAGTGCCCAGGCTACATCCAGCACACCACTGCCCGTTTTCTACCTTCCAAAACCACGCTGGGATTACTGATCTACTGTTACATTTTTTACCTTTTTTTTTGACCCTGTGGTTTTCTTTTATTGTATTTTTAGCAGGGTAATGAAATAATCTTGTGTTTGCTCCACAAGTCCTGAAGTACATATTCAAAAACAAACTGACCAAGCATGGCTACGGCTTCCCACAGGTTCACTTAAACACTCCCTACAGATAGGAAAAACACAGCACAAGTGATCATTAGCTAACTTCCTGTCCAGGCCACCCCCCATATAGGTTAATGAATATTTAAGCTATACCTATGATTTTTTAAAAATATTTTATTTTTATAGAGAGAGGAAAGGAGGGAGATGGGGAGAGAAACATCAATGTGATAGAGAAAGATCAATCAGCCACCCCTTGCACGTGCCCCAACCAGGGACCCAACCTGCTACCCAGGCATGTGCCCTGATCAGCAATCAAATGGGCGACCCTTTGTCCTACAGAATGACACCCAGTGAACTGAGCCACATTGGTATATCTATGATATTTTAAAAAAATTAATTTAAAATAAACTAGAAAGAACTATGACAAAATTTCAGCAGTTATTAATTCAGCAAAGTGAGAAATAGATATTATTCTTTGTATATTTTGATAAATTTCTCAAAATTCCAACCCTACAACAATTAGAAATCAATCTGCCATCCCAGGCGGATCACGCTGTGGCACTATGCCGCCACACAGGCACAGAACCAGGAGCCAAGGAGAAAGCAGGGGTGAGCTGGGCATTGCCACAGGCCCCAGCCGCCTCGGCCCTCCAGAGCACACCAGACCCAGCTAGGCCTCGGTGAGTGTTTGCACACTGTCATCGGCATCACGCCTTCCATGGTCGGGGCCTAAAGTATGCCATCTGCTCAGGACTCTGGGCTCCTGTAGGACAGACTTTATTCTTCTGTTTGGGGAGAAGATACAGGAACCTACATAACTTCAAGTCAACACTTAAACTAAGCGGCTTGTGACCCTCTGTACCAACCACATGACCCAAAGAGAAATCAGATCCAGTCCCTGCCTTCAGCAAGTCCCCAGTGCATTGACAGATGAACAAGTTGAACCATAAGGGTGTTTACCATTGTTTTCAGTACCTATAACGGGGCAGTTATTGTACACAACCTTAAAAGCTAAACCAAAGATGCCTTGAAAACAGCAGGTAAGCCATGCTTCCATTTTAAAGCAAGCCAAGAACCATTTGGTTCTTTGTTCAGAAAATTCTCTAGGAGGCTAGATGTGAAGTCTCATCTTATATATAGGTCAGATCAGGCGATGCTCCCAGGCACAACCACCGGTCCTCACCAGGCTAACCAGCATGTAGTACCTACATTTCAAGTGCTGGGGAGGTCACGCGCTCTGGGCTGTGACTTGAGGAATGACCAGGTAGGCTCCCAGATGCAGGGCTATCCCAGAGGCTCCTAACCCAGCCACCATCATCCTGACTCTCACCTGGAAAGGCAGACGCCTCAACTACAGACATGCACATCCAATGAAGGAAGAACAGGCACAGGGATGATTCAAAGAGGTCCTTTTACAGGGGTCACCTCTACAGGGAAATACAGTCCAAAGAGACCACCTCTATTTATTTTGGGATCCCCCCACCTCAATGAAGGAAGCTCACCAAGCTCAAATCAAATTCCACTTGATGTCCCAACTGATCCCCCTGGTTGGAGTTAATCAGTTTTCTTCAGCAACTAGCCTATGGGAATTCCAACATTCCTTTCATTTACTGAACACTGAAGAGAATCCTGCCCTATGCCAGGTCCTGCTGAGGATGAGGGCAGACTCAGTCTAGAAGGAGATCAAGCATGCGCACAAGTGATGGTAAGAATTACCAGCAGTTCTATGTGCTGTTGGGGGAACAGAGCAGGTGTTAGCAGAGGCCACCCGACCACCAGCAGGCCCAGAAATGCCTTTTTGTGGAATCATCTAGCCACGCCTTGAAGGATGGGCAGGATCTGTCCATGCAGAAAGACAACAAGGGGATTCCAGGAAAAGAGAAAGGCATAAACAAGAAGTATGTGGCTAGGAAATTCTTCATGGGGTGAGCACAGGAAATAGCCTAGCTAAGTCACTGAGGAGAAAACTGCAATAAGCTGGTTTGGGGCGGGGGGGGGGGGGGGGGTGGCGGCGGGCGGGCGGGAAGCCAGATTGTGAGGAAATTTGAATGAAAGGTCGAAGAATTTAGGTCTGAGATCCCTGCTGGAATAAGACACACCTTTCTCTTAGGGCCTTTATCAGAACCACGTGGGTCTTAAACACATTAGAATGTGTACGTGTGTCTGTCTTGCAGGACTACACGTGAGACACTGCAACGTCCATCCTAACCCAAGTTGAGAGCCAGGGACGTAGTGAACACCATTACTCTTGGGTATATTATATTCTCTGAGGGCGCTGGACCAGAAACCAGGTGGAAAACCGACACCTGAGTCATTCTGTGGCATTCCCTGTCCTTGTGAAACATGCACTGTCAGGAGAGAACCCCAGTGAAAGATGACTTGTGGCTGCGCGAGCAGGATAGAGAGCCAAGGTCCGTCCGAATGACTGCTGCCGGGTTCTAGCTGAGTCTCGAAGGCACCTACCTCTGAAATCAGGCAAGAAGGGAGCAAGAGGCCACCACGCTTCAGGGCGCTGCTCTCAGGGCCAGCAGCATGTCCCAAAACATGGCATCACAGGCACCTCTCTTGCCTCACCACAGCCCTGACCCTGCCATCTTGTAAGTTCTAAGATCTATCTGTGTTGGGCATCAATTTTTTTAAAAAGACAGAGAAAGAGAGAGGGGAGGAGGTGTTCAAAATAACCTTCCAGTGCATGGATATAGCACGGGGTACTGGCTGACACCATCTGCCCACTGGGAAGCAGGGGCCACGTGCATCTGCCTGCCCGACACACTCACCTGGACAGTCGGCTTCGTCGCTCTCATCCTCACAAGTCACCCAGCCGTCACACTGCCAGGGGAGGGGGATGCACTGGATGGTGCCGCTGCGACAGGCAAACTGCCCAGGGTTGCACCGCAGCTCTATGAAACCAAAGGGCAAGAGGCCGTTGAGGAAGCGGCAGTAGCAGTGGAGACCTGGAGTGGCCAGCTGCCATGGCCCAGTGCTGCCACCGCCCAGATCCCACGAGCGTGGGCCAGACGCCAGGCAGCCTCCCTACAGCCCGCCTCCTCGGGGGTCTGCACGCATGCCCCAAGGAGGAGCCCAAGAGCTGTGCCCAAAATGCCACAGGTCCCCAGAGCGTCTCATCCCCCAGAGACACGGACCTTGACGCGCAAACACAAACACACACTGCCGCACTGCTGCCCCGCGCCAGGTCTGCGTTGCATGGCAGGGAGACAGAAACAAGAGTGCACACCTCTCACCCCGAGGGATTCTGGGTCAACAGAGGAGACACACATACACTCCATACACACACAGACAAACACACACACTTGGGTTTCCGTCAAAGCACAAACGGCAGGCACCACACAGGAGCGCTTAGACAGCATGCTAACAACATGAAGGAGAGTCTGCCTCCACCTGCAGGGCTCTGGAATGCTCCTTAAAGAAGGTGGGATGTGAACAGGGCTCCCAAGGCAGGTCGACAGTTTCAGAGGCATATATAGCATAGTAAGACGGGAAGAGCAATCCAGAGAAAGCAGCACTTAAGGAAATATCACAGGGCAGCAGAACATGCCAGTTAGACTGTGGGAGCTGACAGATGCAGAATCACTGGAGATAAGACTGGAATGTAAGAAGGATCAGACCATGGAGGCTTGGAAGGTAAGATAATTCTGACCTTTATTTGGTATGTGGGAGGGAGCCAACAAGTAATGTAGTAAGATCTGTGGTTTAAGTAGGTATCACTGGCAACGGTTTCTGGAAGCAATTAAAATAGGGAACCAGACAAAAATATTAAATAGCCATGAAAAGTCTTGAACTGAGGCAGGGGTTGGCAAACTACAGCCCACTAGCCAACTCCTGTCCTTCCCATCGTTTCTTTTTTAAATAATGTTTTCTTGGAACACAGTCACAAACATATACAGTCTACGCCTGCTCTTGAGCTACAACAGCAGAGTTGAGTGGCTACACCAGAGACTGTACCACCTGCAAAGCTGAAAATGTTTATTCTCTGGTCCTTTAAGAAAAAGTTGGCAGACTCCAGAACTGAGGGGGCAGCTGATAAATGGGCAGACTTTGGAACCCAGGAAAAACACTGAGGTGTGAGGGGCAAAGTCCTGCACACCAACGTGACGACACATGAAGAATGGATGGAGTCACAGGAATGAATTTAACTGTTTACCTGCCAAGAACAAAATATAAGAAAACACCAGTTCTCCAGGCACTGGCCATCAAGCAAGGAAGAGCAGCGATTCTCTTAAGAGTCAGGAAACACGCAAGTGAGCCTTCTTGCCCAGAGAACATTTCCAGGCTACGGGGCAAGGGGAGGGACTCCAGGGGGACCTGGAAGACCCTTGGAGAGAGTGGAAGCAGCTAAAAACTGAGGGAAACTCAGGAAGGGAGCACCCACAGGGTAGAGCTCATACAGCAGCCTTCTAGAGATCAAGGAAGAGGAAAAGTGCACAGACAGGACTCCAGGGATGCATGGGGGGCCGCGGACACACACGAACATAGAGGGGGATCAGCCGAAACAGTTGAAGAAACAATGGCATAAACTTCCCAATCCGATGAACACTAGAAACCCATAGATCTAAGAGCTCAATGAACCCCAAACACAAGAAATATAAAGAAAATTATTCAATGGCACATCATAATCAAATCACTTAAAACCAGCAATAGAGAACTCTTTAAAGTAGCTAGAGGGAAAAAAAAGATGTATTACATACAGAAAAACAAAGACAAAGATGACAACAGATTTCTCATAAATAGCATAAGATGGAAAACAGTGGAGAAATATTTGTAAGTTCTGAAAAAAGAAATAGCTGTAAACCTAGAATTATTTAAAGCAAAGACATGTGTACTACATTGTGGGGTTTACAACATGTAGCAGTAACACTGTGACAACAATTGCACAAAAGCTGGAAAGAGAGCAGCAGAAGAATACTGTTTTAATGCCCTTATATACTACAAGTGAAGTCGTCTGTCACATGAAGAGGGTAAACTGTGGTAAGTCAAAGATAAATACCACTAAACTAACATAAGAGTTATAGCAAGTAAGCCAATGAGGACAACAAAATAGAATAAAAAGAGTCAATCCAAAAAAAGGCAGAAAGGGAAAAGGAAACAAGAGAGAGTACAAAAAAAAGAAAACAAATGACAAAATGATAAACTTTAATCAATTTTGCCTAATCAATAAACATATGGGATGATCTAAACACCCCAATTAAAAGACAGAATTTGGCCTTGACCAGTGTAGCTCAGCTGGCCGGGCGTTGTCCCACAAAGTGAAAGACTGTCAGTAAAGATTCCCAGTTGGAGCATGTGCCCGAATTGCGGGCCAGATCCACAGCAGGGGGTGCATGAGAGGCAACCACCCACTGATGTTTCTCTCCCTCTTTTTCTCCCTCCCTTCCCCTCTCTCTAAAAATAAATAAATTTTTTAAAAAATTAAAAAAAAAACATTCCTTTAAAAAAATTCCAATTTTTAAGTTTAAAAACGTCACATAAAGAAAACCCCAGGCCCAGATGGCATCACTGTAAAGTTCTACTAAATATTTAAGAAATAACACCAATTCCATACAAAATCTTCCAGAAATTTAAATATTTTAAAATTACCGTAACAATAGCATCAAAACCAGGAAATACTTGGGGGAAAATGTAGTAACAGGTGTGCAAGTTCCAAACATGGAAAATTACAGAATACTGCTAAGAAAAACTTTCTAAAGACCTCAGTCTACAGGAGTACATGAAATGCTCATGGAGCAGTAAACGTAATACTGTTAAGATACCTATTCTACCCAAATTCATCACAGATTCAGTGCAATCCTGATCAATGTTCCCAGCAGGCCTTTTTGCAGAAAGTGATAAACTGACTCTAAAACTCACATGGTCATATGGAAATGCAAAAGACTTCGCATACCCAAGACACCTTTGGAAGGAAAAGCAAAGCTGGAGGACTCCCACTACCGGAAGTGAGCACTTGCCTTGGAAGTGAGCACTTGCTGTAAAGGCACAGTAACCAAGACAATGCAGCATAAGCATCGAGACAGACATCCAGATCAATGGAACCAAAAAAGAGTGTCCAGAGACAGGCCCCCGCATAAGTGGGCAACTAATTTATGAGAAAGGTGCAAAAGCAATTCTCTGGAGGAAGAATAGTCCTTTTAACAAATGGTACTGGGACACCAGGATATTCATTTTTTAAAAAAGAACTCTGACTCATTCTGTGTACCAAAAATTAACTCAAAATATATCACAGATCTAACTGGAAAACTTAAAACTATAAAACTTATAGAAGAAAGACATAAGAGAAAAAGTCTTTGTGACCCTGGGTTAGGCAACGATTTCTTAGATACATATACCAGAAGAATGATCTGTAAAAGAAAAAGTTGATAAGTACAACTTCATTAAAACTGAGAACTTTTCTTCTTCAAAAGACACTGTTACGAGAATAAAAAGACAAGTCACATACTGGAAGAAAACATCTGTAAATCAAATACCTGATAAAGCACTTGTATTCAGAATATATTAAGAACTCTCAAATTTCAATAAGAAAACAACATACCCTCTCCCCAAAAGGAAGAAAACAACCTACCCAATTTTTAAAGCGGGCAAAAGATTTTCATGAACACTTAACCAAAGAAGATATACAGATGGCAAACAAGCACATAGGGAAACGGAAATGAAAACCATGAGACACCATTACATACTCATTAGTGATTACAAAATAATAATAATAATACCAAGTGTGGCAAGTATGTGAAGTAACTGGAACTCCTCTTACACTGTTAATGGGAATGCAAAATGAAACAACTACTTTGAAAACAATCAACAGTTTCTAAAAGGTTGAGTATGTACCTACCATAAGACCCAGTCACTCCACTCTTAGTTATTTATGCAAGAAAAATCAAAGTACCTGTCCAGATAAAGACTTGTTCAGAGTAATTTTATTTGCAATAGCCAAAAGCTGGAAACAATCCAAATGTCCAGAACAACTAAATGAATAAACAAATTGCGATATAGTTATACAATGGAATATTACTCAGCAAAAAAGACAAATGAACCACTGATACATGCAGCAACATGTAAAAACAAAACAAAATGGAACAAAAACAAGAAGTAAGCTGCAGGCTGTAGTTTGCCAATCTGTGTCCCAGAGTTTAGTTGCAGAGATAACACTTTAACCTCAATCCCATTCCACACATGCAGCAAAGGAAGACCCTATATGTCTGATGAACTGAGCTACTCCAAGATCTTCCTCTACTCTTTAAGTCTACAACAAAGTGTCAGCAATCCTCTGGTCCTGGCTGGTGTGACTCAGTGGACTGAGATCCACCCAGTGAACCAAAAGATCACTGGTTCAATTCCTGGTCAGGGAACATGCCTGGGTTGCAGGCCAAGTCACCTGTTGGGGGTGTGTGAGAGGCCAACAGATGGATGTTCCTCTCACGCATCGGTGTTTCTCTGCCCTTCTTTCTCCCTCCCTTCTACTCTCTCTCTAAAAATAAATAAATAAAATCTTTAAAAATATGAATGTTAAAAACAACAACAATAATAATCCTCTGGCATCCTGGGGAAGCCTCTCTCCCTTCCTGACTCACCTGAAGTACAGGGGCTGTTCTGAAATCAATCCCATGTGTGAGTCACTAGTTAACACATATGAATCACTCATTCAAAAAATACTGACTGAGCACTTACTTTGTGCCAGGCAACTCTCCAGGTGACGGGACCAGAGTAGTAAACAAAGCAGGGTAAACCCAGGGCTGGCACTTGGGTGGAGGAGATGATGCAGTCAGCTGCTTAGTACCCCAGCCAGTGATGCTGAGGGCTCTAATGGGCGCTACTCCAGCTATAAGTTAATATTCCTTTCCTTTCTTCCTTAGTATCCTCTTGAGGTCCTTTGTAAAGCATCCAGAACAAT